CCCCAAAACCCCAAAACCCCAAAACCCCAAAACCCCAAAACCCCTGTTAATACAGATAAAATTGATAGATATAACTATGGATTTAGGACTCATTCCCTGGCAAAAGTTGCTCTCTTTCTGAGCTACTATTAAGCAATTTTTTGCTACTGCTATCTGCACCAGATCCATCAATCTCTTCTTTCCCATCTTGCGTATCTTCCCATATTTCGTGTTCTTCTGAAGGAGGAGCATTATTCCTGTAAAGGCAGTAATGCTGGAACATAAATATCAAATTAAAAATTATGCTAATAAGACTCAGCATGAACTTTCCAATATTTAAACCTCCATCGAATATATTGACTTTGCCTTCATTTATGCCTATGAAGGGTTATTATCAACAAGAGAACTTACCATCGATTGCTATTTGGAGGTAAGAGAAGACACCTCCTGAGAAGTCGAAGATGACACTCCAGATGTTCCATCCTTTAGTTCATTTCCTCTTCCAATTGCGGTAAACTTGAGGTGTATACTTTCAAACAGTAATGACATCCTTAAGGTAGCCTCACAACATAGCTGTGTTCCAGTATTTACTTGTGCCAATATGGTTTAATTCAAGAATGAACAAGATTATTACTAGTAAGAAGGTCACTCCGATTATGAAGAAGGTGATAATACTCATCTTTTGATTACCATTTGGATATATCTTAGCCTGCACATAGTACACAGTACATAGCATTATGGCATGTGTGGAGTATACAAGATCTTGCACAGGAACGTGGTTTGTCCCAATATCTGGAAATATGAACCCTGTATAGTTGTAAACTCCATTAAGAATATTTGAATATATATTGACGAAGGCGTAATCGATGGACAAGCCAACTGCCTTCTTGGTACGGAAATTAGTCCAAGCGATCGGGTAGAAGGACATGCTCCAAGTTATGAAGTACGTCCATCCTACTATGTCACTCAGTATAGATAAGAACTGTGACATTTTTATATTATTTAGCATCGGAGGGGTTTTGGGGTTTTGGGGTTTTGGGGTTTTGGGG